GTCAATTTCGTGATCGAATGCCGATAAGGCCTTCATTTGCATAAAGAAATAGAAACACAGACAAATCTTTCTACGACAGACAAATATAAATGCAAATAACATATAACATATGCAATTAACGTAAAATTTTCATCTTAATTACGTATTAATAGTCTTGGTCAAGGATTACATATTAGCAGTCTTAATCAAGGGTCATGGGCTAATCACGGATCTGGGTTGTTACAATGTTAGTCATGTGAAGAAAGATTGTCCTCTAGTACCATTAGTAGCTCGCAAAGAAAGGTGACAATTTCTATTTTTTGTTTGTTGTGAATTTAATTTAGCTGAAGTACCAACTCACACTTGGTGAATAGATATGGGAACTACTATTCACATTAGTATTACTATGCAAAGTTGCTTGAGGAGTTGTTTGGCCAGTGAATGCTGAAAGGTTCATTTACAAGGGAGATGACCCTAAAGTATGTATTGAGGCAATTAAAGTTTATAAATTAAATTAGAATCTGATTTTTATTTTAATTTAGATGAGACTTTTGAGCGGAAAAATGGATTTTGATTTCAACCAGATTCTAATTGATTTTTCTGCTCAAAGATTTAATTAAGATAAAAATCTTCCTTTTCCGTTCATTTGCACTTGGATTTTGATTTCTTTTCCTGTTTGAACAAATCTAGCTATATTTGTTTATTTGGAAAATGAAGATTTAATCTCTTTCGAAATTCAAATTTTATTGATAATGATATTTTGTTGTAATCAGTTTAATTTTTATTTGGTATTATAACTTTATATTTTGTTTAATGTTTTCATATTTTCTTTGGTAGATAGGGTGATATATATATTTTTATTATAAACTAAATTTTGTCAAATTATAAAGTAACAAGATCTAATTTTTATATGTCCTCTACCTAATCCAACTACTTCTTTCAACTTTTTTGTCTTATATTTTGTGCAAAGTAATAATGTATCATTTTATTATTAGATGAATGTACTTAGTAGGTCAGACATATTAGACAAATTCTAACGCTGTGTTTGGTTGGGGGATTTGGGAAGGGAAATGGAAAGGGAAATGGAAATGAAAGGAAAAGGAGAATGAATTAATAGAATTCCAAATCCCAACTATGTTTGGTTGTGTTGGTTATAAAATAGAATTGATGTCCTAAAAGGTCTCCAATTTCTTTATTTCAGTTTAATTTTTATTTAGTATTATAACTTTATATTTTATTTAATAATTTTCATATTTTCTTTAATAGACAGGGTGATATATGTCCTCTACCTATTCCAACTACTTCTTTCAACTTTTTTTCTCTTATATTTTAAGCAAAATAATAATTTATCATTTTATTATTAGATGAATAATGACAAATTCTAAAGGCAAGGTAAAAGAGGGAAAGACATGAAAAGAGATCGATTGCAATCTAGGCCCAGGCCCAGTATAGTGGGAGTTGCACCATCCTCCTCAACGTGGGTTTTAGTAATGACTAAAGGCCATTGGGCTGGGGCCTTATGACCATCATATTGGTCCAAATTTTAAAAGTTCGATTACTGGGCTTTCGGAGCCCACGTAGTCTTTTTTGTTTTTTTCTTCTAGAAAGATGGGAAACCTTTGTTCATTTTTGTAAGATGTATAAGGTTATGTTTGGATCATTCAAGATTGGGATTTGTAGAAGGGGTAAAAAAAAAAGTAAAAAATAAATGAAATATAAGTTAATTTTTTTATTTTTAAATAAAAATACCCAACTCAAACATTTGTTTCAAACACAATTTGCTGCTAAAACATGTATGAAGCACTTTGAAGTAAAAATAAATAAATAAACTTATATGCCACCTATTTTTTACTTCTTTCATTAAAATATATAAAATAGTACATTGAAAAAAAAGGGGTACAAATTCTTGCCACATGCCATACATACCAGAGAATCTGTGTGAATTTTGCTAGAACATACACACACAACATATCTATTACAACATATAAATTAAAACAAGCCACCAAGAGTAGACTTTTTTTTTTCTTTTTTGTTTTTGAACCCAAAAAAAAAAAAAATTGTTTGATGTAAATAAAAAATACAAAAAAATAAAAATAAAAAAATACATCAATAAAAGGACTCTGACTCCATTAATAAGAAAGGCTTAGTGCAAAAGAGAGGAGGAGAAGGATGGCCACAACGATTTAATAGCGTCGAAAACAATAAGGACAATTTATCCAGAGATGGACCTGACACATAGGAGGTGGTGGTGGTGAATGTTGTGGCGGAGGAGGTGGTGGTGGTCGTGGGTTCAATGGATACACGCAACGAAAGGGTGGTTGTAATGGTGGTTGTGGCCGTCGTGGTGGTGCTGGTCTCCCACCACAAGTTTGACAGCGAAATAGACCATGGGTAGAACAATAGTACTGATCACCCATCAAGTGTTGTGTTCCTCAGATGATAGAAGGTTGTTAGATTAGAATTAAGATTGAAAAGAGAAAATATTGTATTGATACTGATCTTATATTATTATTAAATGAATAGTCTATTTGTAGGCTTATAATGAGTGCTCACCAAGTAAAGCATAAAAATAAAAAAATATATATAATATTTTGAAAATATTATCTAGCAAAGTAAGTTGCTGTTTCTCACAAAAGACCAATCAAGCTAGCAGTTTAAATTTAAAAATTTTGAGGTAAGTATCCTAAACTCTATTCTTTTTATTCTATAAAGACAAAAATAATTAAAAAAATATATTATCCTCAACTATCTGTTTGTAAGGTAATTATTCAGCAATTGTGGAGTATAGACATGTAATACTTCATAGCATTGTGATTGATAGAGAATGTAAGTAGGTGTGATATTGTGTTGGATGATTAATTAGAAAACATGAGGGATATATTAAATAATGATTAGTTAAGGAGTACGGACACATAGTATTTCAAGAACATTGAATAATTTCCCCTGTTTATATGGCTATCTATCCTATGTGTTCACTTGCCCATCTATCTCTCCACTTGTCTACCTATTAGTCCACCACAACGGTTTGTTAGCGACTTTTTTAGCAATCATAATTTTTCTATGAAATGGTAGCAATGGCAGCGGGCAAAGTTTAATAGTATCGTGTGAGAGTATAAAAAGAGAGAGAAAATAGAGATTAAACAAAGTACAATGGTAAAAATTAAAAAAAATATATACATTTATATTTCTCACAAATATATTTCATTAATGATATTCTTAAAATCAAAACATATCAAGTACAAAATTTAATGTTATATATGCCCAAAAAAGTGTATTTACCATTAATTTTCTCGTATTACTAATGTAATTGGGTCCAACCCAAACAATGAAGGAGTTTAATTATTTCAAGGTTCATCAGCAAAGTGGCACAATCATATCCACATCTCGAATTATTTATTTGTTTTCTGTTGTTTGTTACTAATTTGTCAATTTTTTTCTAGACTAGTTGACTATAAAAAAATGTTTGGGTTTCATTAGTCAAAGTCACAAAATTTAACTTAAAATAATCCTGCTTAGTCTTTAAGAAAGAGGATTCACTGAATAATTATGGCTCAATGATCTTAGTTTAATTTTAGCACCTCATTTTAGGTTTTCTAAATTTCTCAAGTGTTCAATTTTAACCTGGGCAAGGCCGCGACTTGGTGCGCATGCATGTGGCCTGGGCAGTGGCTAAGGTTGCAGCACTTAGTGGGGCCGTGGCCTGGCTTGCACAAGGCCGCACCCTGGCGAGCATGCGTGCGGCCTGGGCAACAGCCAAAGCTACCGTGGCTTGTCTTGCATGTGCTCGGCTTTGCTTACATGCCCGCGGCCTATGTAGCAGCCAAGATTGCTGCAATTGGCAAGACCGCGGCTTGACGAGTATGCGTGCAACCTGGGCAGTGGCCAACGGAGCGGCACTTACGTATCGTAACAAAGTCGCACAAGCATATCCTGAACCAGAATTATTTATTTGTTTTCTTTTGTTTGTTACTAATTTGTCATTTTTTTTTGTAGACTAGTTGGCTATAAAAAATAAAAGAAAAAGATTGGGACAATTAGGTATCGGAGCAAAGTCGCCCAAACATATCCACAACCAGAATTATTTATTTGTTTTCTTTTGTTTGTTACTAATTTGTTTTTGTTTTTTTTATTTTTTTAGGCTTAGGTCTCGTTTGGGAATAAATTATTTTGATAACTTTTTAACTTGTTACAAAAAATTAAGATTTTAGAGACTAAAATTTAGGGACAAATTATTTTTTAGGAACCAAATATTTTTGTTATAAAAAGTGTCGTTATTATATTTTTAACAATGAAAATTAGACATTAGTGATGAATTATTATCTTTTTGAGAGCAAATTTTTTGTCTCAAAAAATAAACCAGTTTGAGATCAAATTATTTTGTTCCTAAAAATTTATTTTTTAGTAACATTTTTAAAATTTGTCGCTAAAATCCTTGTTTTTGACTTTTTAGAATAACCTTTTAGCGATTATCGTTATGATAATAGAAATTGGTCTTTAAATGTCTTTTGTAACAAAATTTTCACTTTTAGAGACCAAAACATTTGATCTATAAAACTCTTATATATTGTTGTGACTTTTTGGCTAAAATATGAGATAAAAAAAATTAGTATGTTTGGAATGATTTTTTAATTTTTTACAAAAAAATATACAAAAAATAAAAAAAAATTATAAAAAAAATATTCAAATTTTTTAATAATTTATTAACTTTTAAACTAAAAATATTACCTGCCAAACGAGTTCTTCGTTGACTATAAAAAAAAAGTTTGGGACAACTACATATCGTAGCAAAGTCGCACAAAAACGTTACATGCCAAACGAGTTCTTCGTTGACTATAAAAAAAAGTTTGGGACAACTACATATGGTAGCAAAGTCGCACAAGCATATCCAAGTAGAATTATTTATTTGTTTTCTTTTGTTTGTTACTAATTGGTTTTTTTTTTTTTTTTTTTTTTTTTTTTTTTTTTTTTTTTTTTTTTTTAGACTAGTTGATAATAAAAAAAAGGTTTGGGACAACTATGTATCGCAGCAAAGTCGCACAAGCATAATTGTTTATTTGTTTTCTTTTATTTGTTACTAGTTTGTCATTTTTTTTCTAGGCTTAGTTGACTATAATAAAAAGTTTGGGGACGATTAAGCACCGTTTGGGAAGAAGGTTTGTAGGTTTTTTGACTATTATAGTCACATAAAACAAAATAGGCTATTTTAGTCACAACCAACAAAATATCACATCCAACCCATAATCATTATATTCTTCTCTCACAAAAAAAGTCAAAAAACCCAAAAAAGTCAAAAAGTACTTCCCAAACATCACATTCAACACTTCTAAAGTCAAGCCTCCTTCAAATTTTTGAACCTTTTTGTAATTAGTATCCACCATGTGTGGAGCAAACTGGGCCAATTCGGTAAACTTGGCTTCGTACTCTGCTATTGACATATTGCCATACTTATGTTCTTGGAATTCAGACACTTTTCTGTCTTGGAAGCATTGAGGGAAGTATTTCTCATAGAAAATCTCTCTGAATTGATCCCAAGTTAAAGTCCCACTGTTATCTCGGATAAGCATCCACCGGGGCTGGGCTTCGTCTTTCAAAGTGTAAGTTGCTAACAAAACTTTTTGAGTTTCAGCACATGGAAAGACTTCAAATAGTTTTTCAATTTCTAGTATCCATGTTTCAGTTTTTAAAGGTTCAATTCCACCCAAGAAAGTCGGTGGTTTCATTTTATTGAACTTCTGAGTCAAGCTGATGATTTCATTATTTACTGGTTCCACTTGCACCAAAGGGGGTGGAGGAGACAGAGATTGTTGTCTTTGTTGTTGCATCATTGCTTCTGTTAAAGCTTCTAACATCCGTTCAATGTGGTTCATTCGGGCCTTAGAGGATTCAACTATTTCATCAGTTCTTGGATTTTTCATCTGCTATAGGTAAACAGAGCACTAATAAACACAAATAAATAATACTTTCTACAGTGTTCAATTTCATTTTAGTGCCAATGTATACTAGTTCAGATATGTTCATATGATGTCACACACTTACACATGCAGATGTAATGTCCATAACTCTTTTCTAGGTCATCATATAGCTCATATGGACTTGTGCGTGCGATATAACACGTGCTCTGATACCACTCTGTCACGATCAAAACCCGACCTTATGCGTTTAGCATCGTAACCGGCCAATAATGCAGGGATTACTGAAGGCCTCTGAACAGATTAACGTATAATCAGGAGCTAGCGAAATAATTATAAACATACAACATCTATAGAGTTGTGTAGACATACACGGGACAAGAAAATTTAAAACTTATATTGATATACAATATGTGATGTCATAATTACACTAGTCTTACGTCACCCCCTTATAGATAAACCAAAAGTTGAGTTCAAAGTCTACAAAAGTACTGGTTGAATGATTTTTCCGCTCAACGATCACTCGAGCCAAAGGCTAAGTAAATAGGGTCTTCGCTCGAGCGCAACTTCGGTTGCTCGAGCGGTCTGCAAAATCTTGCAAAACTTCTGGAAGCATGAATTTTATGCTCGAGCCAACTTTTTCTCGCTCAAGCGATGATACAAAATTCTAGAATTTCCAAATTGAAGTTCTAAACATGTTCTTTTGGGCCAAAACTTGAGGAAACACTTGTAAACTTATAGAAGTTCATGATTTGAAAGCCATTTCGCAAAATCAAAGCCTAAAAGCATGCCAATTATGCAAAACCAAACTTGAAACTTTCAAAACATAACATGCATGAATTGTTATGAACTCAACCTTCCAAAACATGATCAATTGAGGTCAAATGGTTAGAAATGTTATGAATTCTTAAAACCAAGCTAGAATTACCACATGGATAAGAGAAATCTTTTGAAAACAACTTTAAAACTCCATGAAATGCACATACATGCATGGTTAACTCTTCTTTCTTACTTTCTCAGTTCAAGGCATGCATTTCATAGCTTAATTCCCTTGAATGCATGCATTAACCAACTAAATTACAAAATTAGAGGCTTGAATTCTTACCTTAGATGCTTAATTGAGCTCTAGTTGGCTAATTGTTTGAGTTTGCAAGTCAAATCCTTCAAGTGTCTACAATATTCAAGTTTTGAACTCAATTTTCCTAAGTCTCTCTCTCTCTCTCTCTCTCTCTCTCTCTCTCACACACACACACACACACACACACACACACATTTTGAGGCTCAAAATGATGAAGATGAGATACTTCTAAAGTGTTGTATAAGCCTTATATAGGCTTGATTCGGAAGCTCAATTAAACTTAGTTAAAGTTAATCAATTGACATTATTTTATTCTAATTAATTTGTTTAGAATCGAATTTCAATTAAACCCACCAAAATTTTCTAAAAATTTTAAATAACACATATATCAAGTCAATTTCGTGATCGAATGCCGATAAGGCCTTCATTTGCATAAAAAAATATAAACACAGACAAATCTTTCTACGACAGACAAATATAAATGCAAATAACATATAACATATACAATTAACGTAAAATTTTCATCTTAATTACGTATTAGTAGTCTTGATCAAGGATTACATATTAGTAGTCTTAATCAAGGATCATGGGCTAATCACGGATCGAGGTTGTTACAATGTTAGTCATGTGAAGAAAGATTGTCCTCTAGTACCATTAGTAGCTTGCAAAGAAAGGTAACAATTTCTATTTTTTGTTTGTTGTGAATTTAATTTAGTTGAAGTATCAACTCACACTTGGTGAATAGATACGGGAACTACTATTCACATCAGTGTTACTATGCAAAGTTGCTTGAGGAGTTGTTTGGCCAGTGAATGCTAAAAGGTTCATTTACATGGGAGATGACCCTAAAGTATGTATTGAGGCAATTAAAGTTTATAAATTAAATTAGAATCTGATTTTTATTTTAATTTAGATGAGACTTTTGAGCGGAAAAATGGATTTTGATTTCAACTAGATTCTAATTGATTTTTCCGCTCAAAGATTTAATTAAGATAAAAATCTTCCTTTTCCGTTCATTTGCACTTGGATTTTGATTTCTTTTCCTGTTTGAACAAATCTAGTTATATTTGTTTATTTGGAAAATGAAGATTTAATGTCTTTCGAAATTCAAATTTTATTGATAATGATATTTTGTTGTAATTAGTTTAATTTTTATTTGGTATTATAACTTTATATTTTATTTAATATTTTTCATATTTTCTTTGGTAGACAGGGTGATATATATATTTTTATTATAAACTAAATTTTGTCAAATTATAAAGTAACAAGATCAAATTTTTATATGTCCTCTACCTAATCCAACTACTTCTTTCAACTTTTTTGTCTTATATTTTATGCAAAATAATAATGTATCATTTTGTTATTAGATGAATGTACTATAGTAGGTCGGACATATTAGACAAATTCTGAAGGTAAAGTAAGGAAAGACATGAAAAGAGATCGATTGCAATCTAGGCCCAGGCCCAGTATAGTGGGAGTTGCACCATCCTCCTCAACGTGGGTTTTAGTAATGACTAAAGGCCATTGGGCTGGGGCCTTATGACCATCATATTGGTCCAAATTTTAAAAGTTCGATTACTGGGCTTTCGGAGCCCACGTAGTCTTTTTTGTTTTTTTCTTCTAGAAAGATGGGAAATCTTTGTTCATTTTTGTAAGATGTATAAGGTTATGTTTGGATCATTCAAGATTGGGATTTGTAGAAGGGGTTAAAAAAAAAGTAAAAAATAAATGAAATATAAGTTAATTTTTTTATTTTTAAATAAAAATACCCAACTCAAACATTTGTTTCAAACACAATCCAAACACAATTTGCTGTTAAAACATGTATGAAGCACTTTGAAGTAAAAATAAATAAATAAACTTATATGCCACCTATTTTTTACTTCTTTCATTAAAATATATAAAACAGTACATTGAAAAAAAAAAGGGTACAAATTCTTGCCACATGCCATACATACCAGAGAATCTGTGTGAATTTTGCTAGGACGTACACACACAACATATCTATTACAACATATAAATTAAAAGAAGCCACCAAGAGTAGGCTTTTTTATTCTTTTTTGTTTTTGAACCCAAAAAAAAAAAAAATTTGTTTGATGTAAATAAAAAATACAAAAAAATAAAAATAAAAAAATACATCAATAAAAGGACTCTGACTCCATAAATAAGAAAGGCTTATTGCAAAAGAGAGGAGGAGAAGGATGGGCACAACGATTTAATAGCGTCGAAAACAATAAGGACAATTTACCCAGAGATGGACCTGACACATAGGAGGTGGTGGTGGTGGACGTTGTGGCGGAGGAGGTGGTGGTGGTCGTGGGTTCAATGGATACACGCAACGAAAGGGTGGTTGTAATGGTGGTTGTGGCCGTCGTGGTGGTGCTGGTCTCCCACCACAAGTTTGACAGCGAAATAGACCATGGGTAGAACAATAGTACTGATCACCCATCAAGTGTTGTGTTCCTCAGATGATAGAAGGTTGTTAGATTAGAATTAAGATTGAAAAGAGAAAATATTGTATTGATACTGATCTTATATTATTATTAAATGAATAGTCTATTTGTAGGCTTATAATGAGTGCTCACCAAGTAAAGCATAAAAATAAAAAAATATATATAATATTTTGAAAATATTATCTAGCAAAGTAAGTTGCTGTTTCTCACAAAAGACCAATCAAGCTAGCAGTTTAAATTTAAAAATTTTGAGGTAAGTATCCTAAACTCTATTCTTTTTATTCTATAAAGACAAAAATAATTTAAAAAATATATTATCCTCAACTATTTGTTTGTAAGGTAATTATTCAGTAATTGTGGAGTATAGACACGTAATATTTCATAGCATTGTGATTGATAGAGAATGTAATTAGGTGTGGTATTGTGTTGGATGATTAATTAAAAAACATAAGGGATATATTAAATAATGATTAGTTAAGGAGTACAGACACGTAGTATTTCAAGAATATTGAATAATTTCCCCTGGTTATATGGCTATCTATCCTATGTGTTCACTTGCCCATCTATCTCTCCACTTGTCTACCTATTTGTCCACCACACCGGTTTGTTAGCGACTTTTTTGGCAATCATAATTTTTCTAAGAAATGGTAGCGATGGCAGCAGGCAAAGTTTAATAGTATTGTGTGAGAATATAAAAAGAGAGAGAAAATGGAGATTAAACAAAGTACAATGGTAAAAATTAAAAAATTTATATATATTTATATTTCTCACAAATATATTTCATTAATGATATTCTTAAAATCAAAACATATCAAGTACAAAATTTAATGTTATATATGCCCATAAAAGTGTATTTACCATTAATTTTCTCGTATTACTAATGTAATTGGGTCCAACCCAAACAATGGAGTTTAATTATTTCAAGGTTCATCAGCAAAGTGGCACAAGCATATCCACATCTAGAATTATTTATTTGTTTTCTGTTGTTTGTTACTAATTTGTCAATTTTTTTCTAGACTAGTTGACTATAAAAAAAAAGTTTGGGTTTCATTAGTCAAAGTCACAAAATTTAACTTAAAATAATCGTGCTTAGTCTTTAAAAAAGAGGATTCACTGAATAATTATGGCTTAATGATCTTAGTTTAATTTTAGCACCTCATTTTAGGTTTTCTAAATTTCTCAAGTGTTCAATTTTAACCTGGGCAAGACCGCGACTTGGTGTGCATGCATGTGGCCTGGGCAGTGGCTAAGGTTGCAGCACTTAGTGGGGCCGTGGCCTGGCTTGCACAAGGCCGCACACTAGCGAGCATGCGTGCGGCCTAGGCAACAGCCAAGGCTACCGTGGCTTGTCTTGCATGTGCTCGGGTCTGCTTACATGCCCGCGGCCTATGTAGCAGCCAAGATTGCTGCAATTGGCAAGACCGCGGCTTGACGAGCATGCGTGCAACCTGAGCAGTGGCCAACGCAACGGCACTTGCGTGCCGTAACAAAGTCGCACAAGCATATCCTGAACCAGAATTATTTATTTGTTTTCTTTTGTTTGTTACTAATTTGTCATTTTTTTTTCTAGACTAGTTGGCCATAAAAAATTAAAAAAAAAGATTGGGACAATTAGGTATCGGAGCAAAGTCGCCCAAACATATCCACAACCAGAATTATTTATTTGTTTTCTTTTGTTTGTTACTAATTTGTCATTTTTTTTTTCTAGACTAGTTGGCTATAAAAAATTAAAAAAAAAGATTGGGACAATTAGGTATCGGAGCAAAGTCGCCCAAACATATCCACAACCAGAATTATTTATTTGTTTTCTTTTGTTTGTTACTAATTTGTCATTTTTTTTTTCTAGACTAGTTGGCTATAAAAAATTAAAAAAAAAGATTGGGACAATTAGGTATCGGAGCAAAGTCGCCCAAACATATCCACAACCAGAATTATTTATTTGTTTTCTTTTGTTTGTTACTAATTTGTCATTTTTTTTTTCTAGACTAGTTGGCTATAAAAAATTAAAAAAAAAGATTGGGACAATTAGGTATCGGAGCAAAGTCGCCCAAACATATCCACAACCAGAATTATTTATTTGTTTTCTTTTGTTTGTTACTAATTTGTCATTTTTTTTTTCTAGACTAGTTGGCTATAAAAAATTAAAAAAAAAGATTGGGACAATTAGGTATCGGAGCAAAGTCGCCCAAACATATCCACAACCAGAATTATTTATTTGTTTTCTTTTGTTTGTTACTAATTTGTCATTTTTTTTTTCTAGACTAGTTGGCTATAAAAAATTAAAAAAAAAGATTGGGACAATTAGGTATCGGAGCAAAGTCGCCCAAACATATCCACAACCAGAATTATTTATTTGTTTTCTTTTGTTTGTTACTAATTTGTCATTTTTTTTTTCTATGATCTTAGTTTAATTTTAGCACCTCATTTTAGGTTTTCTAAATTTCTCAAGTGTTCAATTTTAACCTGGGCAAGGCCGCGACTTGGTGTGCATGCATGTGGCCTGGGAAGTGGCTAAGGTTGCAGCACTTAGTGGGGCCGTGGCCTGGCTTGCACAAGGCCGCACACTAGCGAGCATGCGTGCGGCCTAGGCAACAGCCAAGGCTACCGCGGCTTGTCTTGCATGTGCTCGGCTCTGCTTACATGCCCGCGGCCTATGTAGCAGCCAAGATTGCTGCAATTGGCAAGACCGCGGCTTGACGAGCATGCGTGCAACCTGAGCAGTGGCCAACGCAGCGGCACTTACGTGCCGTAACAAAGCCGCACAAGCATATCCTGAACCAGAATTATTTATTTGTTTTCTTTTGTTTGTTACTAATTTGTCATTTTTTTTTTCTAGACTAGTTGGCTATAAAAAATTAAAAAAAAAGATTGGGACAATTAGGTATCGGAGCAAAGTCGCCCAAACATATACACAACCAGAATTATTTATTTGTTTTCTTTTGTTTGTTACTAATTTTTTATTTTTTATTTTATTTTTTATTTTTTTAGGCTTAGGTCTCGTTTGGAAATAAATTATTTTGATAACTTTTTAACTTGCTACAAAAAATTAAGATTTTAGAGACCAAAATTTAGGGACAAATTATTTTTTAGAAACCAAATATTTTTGTTATAAAAAGTGTCGTTATTATATTTTTAGCAATGAAAATTAGACATTAGTGATGTATTATTATCCTTTTGAGATCAAATTTTTTGTCTCAAAAAATAAACCATTTTGAGATCAAATTATTTTGTTCCTAAAAATTTATTTATTAGTAACATTTTCAAAATTTGTCGCTAAATGCCTTGTTTTTGACTTTTTGGAATAACCTTTTAGCGACTATCGTTTATGATAATAGAAATTCGTCCTCAAATGTCTTTTGTAGCAGAATTTTCACTTTTAGAGACCAAAACATTTGATCTATAAAACTCTTATATATTGTTGTGACTTTTTGACTGAAATATGAGATAAAAAAAATTAATATGTTTGAAATAATTTTTTAATTTTTTACAAAAAAAAATATACAAAAAAAAAAAAAGTTTTTATAAAAAAAATATTTAAATTTTTTAATAATTTATTAACTTTTAAACTAAAAACGTTACATGCCAAACGAGTTCTTCGTTGACTATAAAAAAAAGTTTGGGACAACTACATATGGTAGCAAAGTCGCACAAGCATATCCAAGTAGAATTATTTATTTGTTTTCTTTTGTTTGTTACTAATTTGTTTTTGTTTTTTTTATTTTTTTAGGCTTAGGTCTCGTTTGGAAATAAATTATTTTGATAACTTTTTAACTTGTTACAAAAAATTAAGATTTTAGAGACTAAAATTTAGGGTTCTAGACTAGTTGATAATAAAAAAAAAGTTTGGACAACTATGTATCGCAGCAAAGTCGCACAAGCATAATTATTTATTTGTTTTCTTTTATTTGTTACTAATTTGTCAATTTTTTTTATAGACTTAGTTGACTATAATAAAAAGTTTGGGGACAACTATCGTGGCTTTTGGAACAAAATTAATAATTTAAAAGATTTTTTTAAGATTATTTTGGTGATTCCATTTCTGCACTAAATATCTCATTACACTCAGTGGGGACATATTTTGTGAATGACGACACGTGGTCAAGGTGACACCGAAGTGTCAGCTGAGGTGCCACATGTCTTGGCCATGGCGCCGAGGTGATCTTGACTAGGCCAAGATTATCTGCGGATATATCGTAATCTGAGATGAACGGATAAAGGACAAGAGTCCTAGAATAGGGGAAGAACCTCAGTCTGGATAAAGATAAGACTCTTAGGGAGTTTATCTCTATCTGGCTGAGAGCCAAAGATGAGCATTGAGCCAGAGTCCATTGAAGTTAGGCTTCTACAGGGATCAGATTAGTGCTGGCTATAAAAGTAAAACACCCTCGTGGGTTTTAGGTATGTTCTTTGTATTCTGGCTAGTGAGTTAAGCACTGTTTACTATCTTTGAGAGATAACTGAGTATTGACTTGATCGTCGGAGTGTCTTAGGGTGGACGAACCACCGCCGGAGTCTTATCTTTGTGTGACAGGTTGTTCGGGCGAGATCTATTCTGCCGGTGCTCTCCAACTGAGTACTTGTTTGGCAGTGGGGTCAGAAATCAGCACCCACAATTTGGCAATGTCTGTGGAAAACGTAAGAAGAATAGATGGCCAACGACGGGCAGAAAGAAAGAATTGGGGGCGACATCCCTAGTGGGAGCGGTCAAAACGCCGAACCTAACGTAGAGGAGGACAATTGTAACGAAAAACCTCGAAATAAGAATCCCGGAGAAAAAAACGTCGGCCAAGAGGGAGACGTACCCAAAAAAGCATGTCAGGGCGGGTATTACAATGAAAGTGACCTCTAGATATGGAGAGATAGATGCCTGAATAGGGATGGCGAGATGAAAGGGATGACAAACAAATTGGCAGACCTGCAATCGGTTGTCAATTTCATGATGGAGAACAATATCATGCAACCACCGTTCCCATTGGAGGACACGCCAATTCTAGTGGCCAAGAATGATGCCTAGAAAGGGGGGCATAAAGCAATCCCTGCAGTCCCCGAGCATGACAGGGCGAGGGAGCATTCTCAACGGCCTTCACGGGAGGTCAGGCGAGAA